GGGGGTAATTCAATAAGCATGATTATGTCACAATGTCACATTGATCACGCACTCAAGAAAGCATTAGCTACATACAAAATTATACTACAGAGAGATTATTTACAGTTAAATTAATCAAACACACACCATAGCTTTACAGAGCTTACTCAAGCAAAGCTGTTAATATGAGTTATAATTCCCAGTCATCACCTCACACCAGCAATGTGTGCTCACTTTTCTTACCTCAAAACACAGTCATTACAGTAGAAACCAATAATGAAATTAAGTTTTCTACTGCATGACAGTGTAGTAGCTCCCTGGTGCATCATCTGACAAAGCAGTGTTTCCGGAAAGGGATGTCTACTGGTATTGCATAGCTGTGTCACACTCAACACCTGCACAGTTATTTGAAATACTGGCTACTGCCAAATGTGCGTCATTAAAATTCTTAGTGACGTGTTTAATTGGAAATAGAGAAAAATAATCTTAGTATTGTTTTGGTAAGTGGGCCTCATTCTGTGTAACACATAGTCAGAAAATTACACAAAGGATGAAACTCATCCAGTCTTTGTATCTGGAAATTAAGGCCTCTCTGCCTATCATCTCTTCAATCTTAATTTCTGAGATCCTGTATCAAGGCTATGTTGTTGACCATTTCACTCTTCACCATATGTCTCTCACTGCTGCCATCAAAGCAATTGACTGCTTTTGTGCTAACATTGTACTCAGAGAGCTGTGCACACAAAACATCAGCCTGCCCTCTCTTGTACCTTGCTTGTTAACTGTAGCAGTATGCAAAGATACTACCTGACTATTAGTGTCATGCTCTCCAAAATAGTGTTAAAAAGATTAGGTAGTACATACTCCCTTTGAAATACATGGCCGCCCACATATTTGTCAAGACAATGGCCATCTTCATATCGGAAAATAGTTTCTATTATTTTATTTTAAAACTTTTTTATAATCAAAAAGGATGGATACAATTGTCGTATGCAATCTGAATATAAGAAAAAAATGATTCTCTGACTTTAGCCAGACTTTTAATTATTACATTGTACAAAATATAGCATAATTCGGTATCAGATGCATTCTATAGCACATGTACAGTATAAGGCTGAATTAACAGCCTCCACAGCAGTAGTACCAAAAGTTAGTGAATTTATCTGAAAGTGACATCGTTAAAATCTTATCCAGTGATCTGAACAGAAGAAAATAGGATTCATTAACTCCTGTACTGTCAATGCTGCAAGAAACATTCATTTGCTGAAGCAAGAGAGATGGCAAAAGTGCAACTCCTAGACACTTACAAACACTACAAGGGTTTTTGCTTTTTATTTCTAAATCAAATTCTATTGGGGTTCTTCTCAATGCCGATAATGCATGAGCTGGAGACCACTTTGAAGACCTCTATGGACCCATTTCCTGAGAGAAGGCGAGAGACAATTAAGCAACTTCAAGAAAATACAGGAAGGATTTTCTGAAAACACAGGGAAAAGTCTAGTCATGCTGCAATACTGCTTATAGAGGGATTTCGGCTGTGTGGTAAAGGAGGATTTAATAGATTCACTCTTCTATAGTACTGCACCCAGAATGGATACAAAAAGCAGAATCCTTCTGTTAACACACATCCTAAGATTTTACATTGATCACATTTCAGAATTGCTTCCAGTATTAGTGGCACAGTTGACAAACTCTTATAGTTTTTCTTTTAAATGAAGAAGAGTTTACAGATAATATCATTTTGGTTATCGAAAGTCAACTCCAAGCAAGTCTGCTTTTAAACGATTTTTGTTGCTCTGGGCTCTCATGCACTGTACAAGGAAAGTGTCCTTACCTGAAATTATAGTTTAAGCTGTATTGGAGAGTAATTCACATGTACTGTATTATCTATCAGTTCTTTATAGTTGTTCCACCACGTATTACACAGGATGACTGTCTAGGTTTTTTATATTAATTTAATGTAAGGTCCGGGCTAGCACTATAAATGATTAAATTACCCTGTAGCACAGGAGTCATTCAGTTAACCTATTGAATCATTTAACTCTAACCTTTATTGTACTAACAGGTTCTACTTCCAGAAAAAGAATTTGCTTGAAGATAGGAGATGTGCTTTTATAGTCAAATCTTGACCAAAACATACAATTGATCTGTTGATGGATAAATGGTAGAGTTCAGTTTCATACAAATCCCAAATTTCAACAATTTATTCACATGCATCTGTGAGGATAGTGACTATTTTGTAAAATAATAATTGGGTTGCTTTGCTCAGAAAAATTTGAAGCATGCATAAAGTCTACTGTTGCGAAGACGACACAGGACACAGGTGCTCTTCCTCAGGCTTGTGCCAAATCATCACTAAATCGCTGTAAATAATCTCCAGCTCTAAATAATTTAGAAAATATGTTCCTTTATAACATGCACAACATGACTGGATGGATAAACAAAGATCATTACCAAATAAGTGGCACATGCAACTGTCCCTGCAAAAATGTTATCTAACCAAGCCAAGGGTCCTGATTCCAGAGTCAAAATAACCACATTTAGTAGAAGGTTTTAATTTTAGTCTAGGCCCATTAGGGCTTATTTGGCATGTTTCTGGTCTATAAGCAGGACCTGGCAGTATGTTTGGAAGCTGATGGAGTTGAATAAACTGATGTTGACATTTTAAAAGGTGTTGACTCCTATAAGTAACATGATTCATACATTCATGTGTTTTCTTGAAATACTGGCTGTCTGTAAAGCTTCTAAAAACACTAATTTTTTGCTAAACATTTACAAGAAATTGAATCTAATTAGGAACTGGTCAAAAGCACTATTTATACAGCTAAATGCCATCATAAAACAGACAGTTGCAATATGGTTTTAAAACATTACTTTAACCGAAACGTTTAGATTTTTTCTTCAACAAAAAAAAGCTCCAGGCATTTAACTCCAGACATTTGTTGCCATGTCATGTTTAAGGCCATGATTCTATCTGTTAATTAGACATGACATAAACAACTCAATATTTGAGTGGTGTCCTGTCATGCTTTCTCTTCTATATGTACACCACTTCTCTATTTAATAACCTTAATAAATCCAGGCAATAAAACCATTAAACACTTCCATTAAGTGTCCCTGCATCAATCATCATCAAACCTGGTAGACACACGTCTGTAATCTCTCTGTAATAAAAGCTTTAGAGAATTAGGGGCTAGTCTGTCCATAAAGGCATATTTGTGCAGTAAAATTAAGATGGACAGCTTATCAAGCTAGTTCAACACACCCTCCTGGCTCTACAGAAAGATACCCAAAGCCCAGTATAACTTTAATTTGATACTGTTCCTTTTCCATTACCATGATTTAAACATCACACTATTTTCAAATAGGTTATTATGCATATTATATAATACTGGTTAATAAAGGATCATCACCAGGAAAGACAAGATTGCAGAAATAATAAAAAGAGTAGGTCAGAGACATTTACTTATACTCTCTGATAAAGTGACTAGGCAACAATGAACCATATCTACATAATATAAAAAAAAACCCATGTCTGGATCACAGGGCCTTGTGAAAACACTTCTTTAATACCAGTAGGTATTCATAAATACCTCTTCTCTTTTCACAAACAAAACTGCTGGTAACATAGCATGTCTGCAAACTCTGCTCCAGTATGCCCGAATTATTACAGTGATGCAAACTGTGGAAAAAAATACTCCTGAGGAATGTAAAGCAAGAACACAATATATCCTATATAGTATTCCACAGCTAAAAACCTAAGAGGGGTAACTACATGTGAAATGTGAGTGTCTCATTTACAAATCACAATATCATTTTTTATTTAAAATCTTTGTTGTGCTACTTGGGAGTTTTACCACTTTCTATCTCTATGGAAATATTTCTCTCTCTCGGCCATATGAAGCATTTACAGTAGATCCAATAACTGAACCTCCTGGGTACAAAGACCTTGGGAGCTACAGTACATTATCATACTATGTACAGATTTTCGTACAAGTCACATCTGTTAGTAGATTTAGTTTTTCTCAATCTAATTTTGATTTCCAAGGTTCCCTATCCGTTCTTAATGTTTTCTTCAAAGTGGATCTGCATGTACAGTATAGAGTATGTATCTCTCTAAGCTAGTAGTAGTCTATACAACCTCATGTATTTCAGACAAGTATGCATCCTTCAAAGAAAAGATAAATACAAAAGTATTAGTGTAAAATGGGTTAAAAGTAAATGATTTAGTAGCTCAAACCTCCAAGCTGGAAAATGGTTTATTTTATAAAATGAATTTCAGAAAGAAGTCAGGACCAAAGAGGATAAATGATTTTCTTTTCTTTGCTGTATTGGATGACATGGTGAACACATCTGTGCCCACCCATTAACGTCAGGTGAAGTGGATTCTGCTCTATTAGAGCAGAGGAAGACTCGGTGACCTTTGGCCTTTCAACATCCAATGCACATCCCCAACGGGGAAAACCAAAATGAAAACTTTAAAATGGCTGGCCAATGTTTTAAAATAAACGTGCATGTGTTGTGTTTTGAAAAGGTTATTAATATATAATATTAATATTGTATATTTTACTATGAATATAAAAATGTACAAATATTCTGACTACAAAATATGCCAGAAACAAAGGTAAATATTGTTTGCTTTCTTAGTTGTCACTAGCATACCATCTTTCTTTTGACTACCATTTGACTACGATGGTTTCATACTCTTAAAGCATATGTTTGTCATTTGAAAGAGTTGGCAAGAGAAATACTGTATTATTTTATGATTTAAATTACAGAGATGCTTTTATGGAGAGTAATTTCAAATATGTGAATTGACAAACACTACAACACTGCACACACCCAATGTTAAAAACAACACACTATTACAGTACACAGTATCCAAAAGGTTAGTTCTTAGTATGCTGTCCACATTCACTACTATTAAGCCTCAGTGGAGCTCAGCACAATCACTTACCTGGCTAGTGTTAACATTGCTGCTGTTTGTTGCAAATAAAAGGAAAAGCCATGGTTATACTCACCCCTGTTGATGGATAGACTGTCCAGCCCAACTCTGCTGTTGCAGTTGTTGAATCCATTAGCATTTCTGAAAAGAATGGAGGAAAAGGTTACCACGAGTCAAAATCCCAGTTTGGTACACAATCAATTCAACTACAGAGGGGAAACGTAATTAGTTCAACAGACCTGCTGCGACACAGTAATGTAAGCAAGAAATTCTGACAGCCTGATACAGTATGCATAACACTGACCTCTATATTCCATGATCACTCTATAAATATTTTGAAACAGACATGTTTAAGATAAACATGTCAGAAAAACTTGTCTAAACATGCTAAAATTCATCCTCCCTCAGAATTCAAACAAACTAAGAATAGACAGTTTTCACAACAAAATAAATGAATCGTATAGGTTATGGGTTATATGGTATGTTGATTATTACTGAAGGTTCGTGCCACTGTGGGTGTATTATTTTCTCCCTATAACACAAATATTTCAAAGCTCAGAATGTATTTTAAATCATTGTCTAATCACGAACAGAATGAAGGATTCAATACCAAATCATGTTTGGGAAAGGTGCACTGTACTATGTTTCAATTCCTTCAATACAAAAAAATAAAATTAATATTCTTCAACTGACATTTATACATGGCAGAACTTTGATCTGGATATATATTGTTTTTTCTGTCAATGCCAACAGAGGTCTTTAAAGATGTATCACTGTATTTAGCACAATTCCAATTTTCAAGACAGATCTTTACATATGTGTCCTTTAACCTTTGACCTAGGATGAGTTTTCTTCCTAGGTGTAGTGACTTGACCTGACCTCCCCAATAAACCCTGGCCATTTGTTGTATCATGAACCTAGTTTAGTCTTAAAGGTCCCCAAACAAATTTTAACAGGGCAAGATCCTTTATCATTGAAGGACAAAAGCTCAATAATAAGCCTCTTACTGCACAAAGCATGACCAACATTCCACACCAACCTGTCATCAACGATTTCACATTGCTCATGAAACCTTTTTCTTTCTGACCTTTGTTGGAAGTGTGATGTGTCATAGTATGTAACATACGTTCAGACTATTGTACTATTGTAGAAAAAACGTACAAATCAGCCTTTTCTCTCATTAAAAAACAAAACAACAATAAACTGCAGAGTGGACCTCTTTCTCTGGAATAAGGATCTATGGCCAACTTATTGGAATCAATATTTTTCAGCTAGCACCACCGACATCCAGCACCAGATTCCTGCAAGAAATCCCAATAGCAGTTCACAACCTTCAAAGTGTTTGTTCTCTCGCCCAGTGTCATCCCTCTGAAAGACTGGAAAATCCCCAAGGCTTTGAGTTTCAAGACCCAGAAAGAGGGAAAAAAAAGTAATAATAGTTTTTAATTCTTCGTGTTCTTCAGCCAAAAAGAAATAAAAAGGAGAATCATCTAACCTACAGGCTCAACAAAACCCCAAAGACTGTCACAAGTGTTTGGATAAAACAAGAGCAATCTGACAAGACGGTGATAAGGTTTTGGCAACTCTTCTGTTAAAACACAGCTGAGTGATAGGCAGACGCCTCCAACTGTATTCTCCCAGTAACTGATTATAGTTATTCAGCACTTTAATGGGATGCTTTGTAGCATCTTCTCCTGCAGGAAGGCTTTGATTTTTTAAATATTTTTTTTCTGTCACTATTGTATGACACTAAAATCCTTTCTTTCCTTTGTGACTCACCAGCTTTCAACAGCACACAGCCAATTTGGTTTGATATGAAAACACTGTTTATTTCAGAATTAAGTTTAAGATCTTGTGGTAAAGGCAATCCAAACACACAGAAGCTGTTATTGAAGGTGAACTTCTGCACCGAAGGAAAATATATTCTGTAGTTACTTATGCTGTAGTACTTGGCCAATTTTCAGAAGCTTATTTGCCAGATCTCTAGTAAAACCAGAGTTCTAATGCTCTGCCTCTCTCACATCCATCATCAAAAGAGTGGCACCCTTTTTATGTTGCTTGATAAATGTGAAATTACATCCCAAAAGATTATAGGATTTTATCACTCCTCAAAATACATCAGCCACTTTTAACACTAAAGATCTGGCATTGTGAATCTCCACAATTGATTACAGATGACTTCAGGTGTATTAAAGTTGCTCTTCAAAATCTTTCATCTATGAGAAATTGCTGCAGTTATGTAACTAGCACAAAACAGACTTGAATGACTGCTTTGTTGTCCACAACAGGGTAAAACCAAAACAAATTAAAAAAGTAACCCTTTGTACAGCACAGTGTACCATCATCATATCTTCAGTTGTGTAGCCTAGACCTTAATCTTCAAAAATGGCAATCAATGTTCAGCACTCTTGTATAGCTTACTTCATGACCTGGACATACCTTTATCCTGATTGTTCACCACCACACACATTAAAAATAGAAATTGCTTTTCAATCTGGTTCATTCTGTCACTTGTCCAAGTCTTATGCAAATGCAATTAAGCTTTCAGTGAACATTTCTGGCACAGAAACCCCATTCAAAGCCAAGCTTCTCAAAGGAGTCTCATATTAAAGCTGCTATATAGTATACTTGCATTAAAAACAAACTGTTCAGCATATGACAACAGATATGTTAAATTTCAAACTGGTGAAAGAGTAGAAACCTGGTCATTTACCCTTATTTATTGTAAATACATGATCTTAAGAGTTAACTGTGAGGATCCCAAAGGTTTTTCTGTATTTTAGTGACAGAATAAATGGCAGATTATGGGGAGACAATCATTTAAAACTCCATTTATTAAATCTTGTTGTTTTAAACGTTTTTTAAAATATCGAATAACTACATATCCATGTCTGTCTTTTTTCGTTTGGTTTACTTGTCCACTCTGTAGTATTCCTCCACGAATGAAAGTCACTTGAAACATTAATACAAACGCCAGCATTTGCAAGGTACACTTGCTGAACATTAAGAAAAATCAGAAAACCCCAGGAAAGATGACAGACAATGCAAAGAAAAGTCATGTCCAGTCACCTACAGTAAATGGCACTTAATTGGCACCCAGCTGATTCTTCTCTACTCTATAATACATTAACAGAGCGTCAGGTACATGTATAGAACTTTGCTGTTGGCAAACCTTTACTTGGAACAGGACAGAACATTCAATACTAGTTGAATTATCCAGTGAAAAATAAACCTTGAGTAATTACTGCTACTCTGCCTGAATCTATCCGTTTGTCATTATGCCGGCAATGATTGGAATAGAGAAATGACATTCCTAGGCCATGCAGTGTGTTTTCTGCAGTTTGCTACCAGGGAACCAAAGGCGTGCAATGATTGTAGACTTAATTTATTTTCTTCCCTAATTAGTGTAATACAAGTCTCCCATCATTGGAAGAAAAAGAAGACTGCATTCATCAAGAGTTAGGCAGTAACACCTTCTGAAAGATCCATTCACATCACATAAACTTTTTTTCATTTTTTAAGAAGAACAGAAAAAATGAAAACTGAATACGGTTCTCATAGTGTAAAAACTCATTTATAATTTGGATTTGGATTAAGTTTCTCAATCAATTTGGTTCTGTTCTATCCCGATGTTTGGTCTGCCACTTGGTTTAAAATAAGCCCAATTAGTCACTGTTGTCATCTTACTAATTGAGCGTTAAACATGATTTAGGATTATACACACAAAAAATAAAATGCAAGGAAAATTGAATGTATGAAAAATACGATTTTTACATGTATAACTGTACTCAGCAAATACTGTACAATCATCTCAAAAATGAAAACAGTGTCAGTGGCTATATACAGTATGTGTATTTCACTGAGTGACTTCATTCTTCACTATTGCTAATGAAATGTAAAAAATATGACATAGGGAAAACCCTGATGTTGTTGTAAACTTACAATAGGCTAATTGTGGCCTTCCTTTTGGGTTTTCAAATACATTTGTATCCCTTCATCTGTTGCTGTTCCGTGGATGTAGATTTGCTCCAGGGTTGCTGTGCTACAGTGCACACTGAAACTAACAAGCTTCTTTACTGCTGTGTCAAAATCCTCACTTTCAATCTTCTGCAGACCAGAGCAAAATTACAGTGTGAGCCAAGGACATTTCAGTGGATTTACACTCCTAGGAATTACTTGGATTTACTGTATAATGCTTGGAAAATCTTGCAGAACAATTCATGTTTTTCATTTGCTTCAGTCTAATTGTTAATATTCCATATCATAAGACAAAAATGGGTTTCGCATGGATTTCACTTACAGAAAAAACACTTCTAATTTAATCGCAACTTCTAATTTAATTAAACCCCATGGAATGATAACAATTAAATCAGTTATTAGTATTGATTTTATCTCCAACTAGTATAATAAAATGATCTAAAAAGTCTAATTTTGCAGACTATACCTTTTTTGCCACTTACCCAAGTCACAAGCCTTCGGATACACTCCACTGTCGTCAAAATCAAAAACTAATTGAAGCTGCGAAAACCAGCCCATGCCTTGGGACAGAAACCTCTAATCTGAATACAACAACATAAACCACTGCCACACGATGTCAGGTAAAATTTCTACAAGCATTACTTCTCCAGAAAATTAATGCAGTATCTTAAAAACGTTAATGCAATACTGTAGTATCCAGCTTCACATATTACTTGTATAATGTTTCACATATGTAGGCAAGTTCTGAAATTACATTGGTACAGCCATTCACCATTCAGGTAATTACAGTTTTGTTTGCATCATAATACATACTAGATATAGCAAACATAAAGCATATTTCAAATGAATAAAATGCTGATGCAGTTTAAGTGCATAAAACATACAATTTGTTGCAAACTTGCATTCCTGTGAAACCCCCTGTTCCAGCACACCAATATTGTTAACATCTCCCAACAAAAAACAAATTATGAATTTATTTGGCTGATGCAACCTATCTAAAGTTACTTATACTGTATAAGTTAAAGCACATTTTGTTACATGCACATTTTAGGCACCTGCTTCTACAGCTCATGTTCCTCTACCAAACTGGGAAAACGACTTTGTACAACAACCCTATCTCCACCTGGGAGCTGAACGCACATCTTACCAGTTAGAAGTCCAAA